GCCCGAATGTCCACCACCTCCATGACCCCATGCGGATGGAGCATCACCCACCCCTCCTGCTCCTGCTCCCGCTCCCGCTCCTCCCCATGAAGCACTGGCGACTTGGGACGGGGCTGAGAGACGTCGCCAGAGGAAAGTCCAAGTGTAGCAGTAACCCACGAAAACATTTTTTCTGTGTGTGTGTGTGACGGGGTGCTGATGTTGTTGGTTGTTCAAAAGTGCGTGTTTACGAGCTAGAAGCAAGTTTGTCGGTGAGTTTCGAAAGAGTGTTGTTGTTTTTGTTGCTGGTGATTGTTCGCAACGGCCTTGCTTGTTTGTTGGGGTTGGTGGTTTGCTGTTCAAAGGTGGAAAGTGCTGGGGCAAAGTGCGATTGGCGTGTGTGTGTGTGGGTGTGGGTGTGTGATTGCGGTTGGCTGGCGGGAGGTGAATGAAACCCGACTGTATGTATATGTTTCTGTTTCGGCTGAGGGTAAAAATTACGACAAAGTATTACAAGATGAGGAACTTTTTCTAACGGCAACGGGGGATTTTGATTTAAAATAAGAAAATCAGGGGGGATAATGGGAGTGTGAATGGAAGAGGAAGGAGGGCGAGTCATCATTCAATCTGAGGGGTCAGGCCAAGCGACGCGTCTCTCGGCCAGGATAGGTGGCACAGTTGCACACACGTTCCTCCCTTCTGACGCGATAACATGGGGTTGGTCCGGTGACTTGTTGACTTGCCTCCTGCCCAAAGAAATTCCTTCCGAAGGCCCAAATTGATAAAGGAAAAGCAACCAACAAGGGGAGGGAAAAAGGGCAAAACATGACGATTGTCCTAAAATTGACTGGCTGGATGCATTGTGATGATAGATAGCAACAGCACACACACCAAATACTGCAGCTTCCCGGAAACGGGGTAAATGGAGAACTGGAGAGACACAAACAAACAACGAGAGCAGCGTTCCGGTTTCTATTGTCATGCTGGAATCTGGACCTTAGAGGGCCGTGAATGGCATGCAAAAAATCACGTTGGGTACAAAGTATGTGTTTGCGTAAGTTTTCGAGCATCACGCACGTTCCCTACTTTCTCCGAAGGGGCGATCCCGTGACGGGGTCACGTTCGCGTCCTATTCCCTACCTATTCATTGGCAATCTTTGATCCCTTGAAAAGAAAGCAGGTGCCGGAAGATTGGAGGGAGCGCACGGTGTTGACACCGTCATTGTTGGCTGTGCTCTTGGCGTCGATACTTACGTTCACCGTCATCGCGGTTGACCTGATGAACTAACTTACGCACATAGCCAGCTGGCCATGATTCAGTTCGATAACCCCAAAACACCGTTTCGCTGCACAAGACCATTACACTCCATGCAACCGCACCCACTCCTCACTGCAAGAACCGCAACCCTCCATGGTGATCCTTTCAGCGTTGTGTGTTTGGACATATCCGATGTGGGGTTTGATAGGGAGTCTGGCGTGGTTCAGATGGTCTGTCGTGTTTGACTGCGACGGACGCTCTTGTTTCTTTCTTGGCCGGTCATGGGATACCACGGGAAACGCGAAAGGGTATCCAAATAACATGCCACGCAGACACCATTGCCCACCCTCATTCATCGTCCGAGTTTTAAATGCCATTACACACACCGAGATGTGACATTATCTTGCCCTTAAAGTTTTTCAACTCCTTACCCAAGCACGATTTCCACTGTCCGGGCGCAACCTCAAAACGCCGACTACTAGAGAACCAATGCACTGATGGACTTGGTCGAGCATGAATGGAGCGTGAATAGATCCTGATTCGTCAAACCCGCGACTGAATGAACAAAAAGTGTTGATCAACTCCTTGCTTGTTGACTAGGTATTGACTAGGGATTTGCACGTCAATTACGGGCGGCAGCGAAATGCTATTATACTTGCAGTGGACGAACGGAAGTGGTAGCTAGCATCAGAGAATAACTCACACAGGAACCAGATGGCACCTACCGACACAGGTCATTCATTTGATGGGACATTCCGGCAAGGAAACAAGATTCAGTAGCTGTAATGCATCCAAGCAGACCACGGCCGCTCCAACGGTACCCGGTGACGACGACGGTCATTATCTGTCCTCCTCATTTGACGAGCACGCGGACGGGTATCTGTAGGGAGGCAATCATGATGCACGATCTGGCAAAATGGCAAAGGCGGTGCCCTTCATTTACATCCTCGTCCACGTTCACAACATCTGCGATATCCTTCAATTGCTGCCTTCCTCAGCTCCCGGTCCCTCCGGATCGACATCGTCCACTTTGGCAAAAGGAAATAAGAAACACAAAAGATGGAAAAGGATATGCAAGGTGTGGGGTTCGAACCCACGCGGACTGACGTCCAGTTGATTACGTAATGCTTACTTAAGTCAACCGCCTTAAGACCACTCGGCCAACCTTGCTCTTTTTATTTCGGAGGAAGAATTGCTGAGTCATGTAGGGTAAGCTAGCGCGGTTCGTCTAATCCGAATTTTTGGTACTTGTGTCGTCCCGGTCCACTCAAAACGCGTCAGATGCCCTCACTCAACGCGAGACCTCCCACCCCCCCCCCCCCCCCCCCCCCACCCCCCCCCC